CAACTAATTAATATATATATATATATATATATATATATATATATATATATATATATATATATATATATATATATAAATGAAAGTACTTATATATATATAAACTGCTCAGTACTACTGGTCTAGGACAGACACTTTTCCCTACCTAGCGTACTGCAATTTAAAAGAGTTGATGTAAATTAAAAGAAAATATAAAGTATAAAAAAGAAGCAGTACTAGATATGCACTTTTCCCTGATATTACATTCTCAAATTAATAATCAATAACACTTGTCTATATAATAAAACCTACTACCGACCACTTATTGACCTTTCTAATGACCTCTGTAATTCAAGACAAGAGTCAGAGGGTGAGGAAGAGCACGTGTGAGGCACTGAATTCGATTCTCAGCACCACATAAAAAAATGAAATAAAATAAAGATATTATATACCTCTACAACTAAAAAACTGGAAAAAAAAAAAAAGACAAGAGTCAGAAGTAGGAACAAAAGAGATACCTGAAGGAAACTTCAAGAATTACTTATTTCAACATTCTTTTGTTAAACCATGTTTACTAGAGAAATTACAAGAGAGTCTAATAGCAAATAATTTAATAGCTTTAATAAAGCAAGACTAATTTTGCTCAACTAAAAATATATGCAAAATGAAGATTAGTCTTTTTTTTTTTTTAAAGTGAACTGGGTAAGCCTTTAAATTACTGGTTTCCCTATCTCATCCCCCGGCATCTAGAACATCCTATATACAAACAAATAATATAAACACAAAATATTATTGTTAAACTATTAAATAAAAAATAGATTTCACCATAGTATATATAGGTCACTAGCTTTGATTACTATTAGATTCAACCATCATTCATTCATTCATTCACTAAATATCTCTGAGCAGTTAGTATGAACCTGGTATCATGCTAAGCAATGGGGATACATTAATAAGATGACAGTTTTTATTTTCATGTGACTGCATTCTGCTGTGAGAAATAGAAAAACACACACATAAAAAAGAGGATAACTGGGCTGGGGTTGTGGCTCAGCGGTAGAGTGCCTGCCTAGCATGTGCGAGGCCCTGGGTTTGATCCTCAGCACCACATAAAATAAATAAATAAAATAAAGATATTGTGTTCAACTATAACTAAAAAAAAATATATATATATATATATATATTAAAAAAAGGATAATTAGACTGGGGGGTGAAGCTCAGTGGTAGAACACTTGCCTAGCATGCACAAGGCCCTGGGTTTGATTTCCAGAACCACAAAATAATATGCAGCAGCAGCAGCAGCAGCAGCAGCAGCGCAGCAGCGGTGGCAGCAGCTATGACAGCAACAATCAGGTGCATTGAGGCACATGCCTGCAATTCCAGCTACTCAAGAAGCTGAGGCAAGAGGATCACAAATTCAAGGCCAGTCTGGACAATTTATCAAGACTATCTCAAAATTTTTAAAAAGCACAGGAGTGGGGGCTGTGGCTGTGGCTCAGTAGTAGTACACTTGCCTGGCATGTGTGAGGCCCTGGGTTTGATTCTCAGCACTACATATATATACATAAATAAAACAAAGGTCTATCAACAACTAAAAACAATATTTTTAAAAAAAATTTAAAAAGCACAGGGCTGGGGGGCACTGGGGATGTAATTCAGTGGTGAAGCCCTTGCCTAGCAATAGCAAGCAAAAAGTCGTGGGATTCAATTCCCAGTAGGTGGAGAAGGATGATAAGATAATTATAAATGTGGTAAATGCTATTAAGGAAATATACAAGTCTTTGTCACAGATTACAGTTTTTGAAAGCTGAACTGCAGAATACCAACAGACCTAAAAATAAATAATTCATGAAGAGTTACATCAACATGACATAGATTCTACAGACCTTTGCTAATGCATAAGACACTGACCATGAAAACAGGGATCAATCTATCTTGTCAAAGCTACTGGATAGAATTACTTAGCAACATAGTAACCTCAAAAGATAATCAATCTCATAGTTCCATACAGGCAAAAGCATGCAAACACAATCCTGAAGAAAAACTAAGCAAGTGGAGCTGAGGAGACATGACAACTTAATGTAATGTGGTATCTTGAATGGAGAGCTAAAACAGAAAAAGGACATTAGGTAAAAACTAAGGAAATCTGAATAAATTATGGAGTTTATCTAATAATAATAATACACCAATATGAGTTCATTAACTGTAATAAATGTACCATACTAATGTAAAATGTTTATAACAGGGGAAACCGGGCATAGGGATAAACAGGAACCCTCTGTACTATCTCAATTTTTCTGAAAATCTGAAATTATTCTTTTTTGGAGGGTACCAGGAATTGAACTCAGGTGCACTCACCACTGAGCCATACCCCCCCAATTCTATTTTGTATTTATTTAGAGACAGGGTCTCACTGAGTTGCTTAGCACCTCACTTTTGCTAAGGCTGGCTTTGAACTCTCGATGCTCCTGCCTGAGCTGCTGGGATTACAGGCTGGTGCCACTGCATCCAGCTCTAAAACTAGTCTTAAAAAAATAAAAAAATAAAAAAGGGCCAGGGTTGTGGCTCAGTGGAAGTGCGCTTGCCTAGCATGTGTGATACACTGGGTTTGATTCTCAGCACCACATACAAATAAATAAAATAAAGGTCCATCAACAACTAAAAAATATTTAAAAAAAAAAAAAAAGTTGGGGCTGGGGCTGTAGCTCAGTGGTAAAAGTGCTTGCCTCGTATGTGTGAGGCACTGGGTTCGATCCTCAGCACCACATAAAAATAAATACATACTGTGTGTTCATCTACAACTAAATTAATATATTTTTTTTAAAGTTTGTTTTTTTCTTTTAAATTTAACAAGGTTCAGGAATAACAGGTAAAAGGGACTGAAGAGGAGTTAATAGATTACAGAAATAAGAAATGAGAAGCCATAAAACTACAATATGATTTGGAACACAAATACAAAATTCAAAGACCTGCAGATACTTAGGAAATTAAGATCTCTATTCATCACTATTCATAAAAACTTCCTAGACAGATTAATGGGTTTTTCATGCAAATTAAACAGCACAGCATCACAACATATAGTAGATAATAGTATTCCTGGAGTACACAATTAGCACGTTGGAAAATATTTATCAATAATGACCAATAAGCTATATTTTATGTATGGGATTGTCCTGAAATTGTCATTGTAACTATAATTGTAATTATAATTGCCACCATATATTATACTTGTAGCTGGACCAAAATCAACTCCGTAGGTTTTACTAAATTATTCACCTAAGGAAACAGTTTTCATACTTAAAGAAAACTCATAAGCAAAGAAGACTGTATCCTCACATTCTATTAATCCAGGCATGGACAAAAGAAAATTAGCCAGGCACCAGGGCACAGGCCTGTAACCCCAGAAACTCAGGAAGGTGAGGCAGAAGGATCCAAGTTCAAGGCCAGCCTCTGGGAATCCTGTCTCAAAATAAATAAATAAAAAAGACTGGGGATTTAGCTCAATAGTAGTGTACTTTCCTAAGGTTCAATGCACAGTACTGAGAAAAGGAAAAAAAGAAGAAAAATATTTATTTCCCAGGTCCAACTGGAGGCAGTTTTGCAACTAATATTAACCTGCTGTAATGCCATACAAATTAATACAAATAGTTCAAGATAGTGACAAAACTCTGAATTTACATCAGTTATATATACCTTCTAGTCAAAACAAATAACTAATGTTTTCTATAACCTCAAGTTTCTGAATTTTAAAGATGGTCATGAAAAGTGTAAGAAAAACAAAGGAGGATGATAATTTCTGAATTACTGCGAAGTTTGTATGATATAGCATAAAACAGTTATTTCTACAAGTAATCTGAGAGACAACCATTACAAAATGGAATCTTGCTTCTAATATAAAGCAACAGCAAACCCTGACCAGATAAATGACATAACAATTGCACTCAATTAGATATTACAAAATATTAGGTATACTTTCATAGAATCATTTAGCCCAAGAGATATTTAAATCTAATTTAGATAACCAGATGATTAACCTGTCCCTACTCTACTACATTACTCAAAGAAAATCCTACAAAAACAAAGATGTTCGTTATTCTAAGCCTTCTCTCACACGAATCCTAAACATAAAATTGGAAAATGCTCAAGAAGAAATGACTTAATATTTCCACAGCAATTCCTATTTGCACCACCATGAGGAGAATCCAACGCTGTTTCATGTTAAAATGAGAATAAGGAGAGGTGAGATGTTAAAAATTTCAAGTAAAATGATCATGACATAGCATCTGGCAAAGACAGAAAAAGCATCAACACTGCCAAAAGAATTTTCAGTGATGAAAGTCAAGAGAAGAAAATGAGCTTTTTCAACAAGCCACAGTCCAACCCAAGGGGCAAAAATCGTTACTGCTAACGCCACCCCTCTCACCCCATTTTCAAGTCGCCTCCAATTCAGACATATTTCCTCTACAACTCAAACTAATTCTCAACCTAGGTGAAAACCATCCAGGAATTTTTTTCCTATCACTTCCCACCTTCCAGGAGATTTGCACTTCTTAGGGCCAAGCCTCTGGGGAAAACAACGCCCAGATCCCACCCTCCTTGCCCAAGGTTGGAGAGAGAGGGCCGGTTCGAAGCAGTGGGGCTTCTCGGAGTGGGCCTCACATAGCTGAAGAACTGAGAAGGAGCAAAGAATAAGGGTGGGGCTCGAGTGAGAGGGCCAGGGTATGGAGACGACCAGGACCAGAGGAAGAAAGGGATGGACGGGAGGCCAGGGCTGGGCGGGGTGAGGACTGGGGAGCGAGGACGACCGACGCGACAGGGCCGAGTCAGGACCGAAGGGCCTGGGGACCCGGGTAAAATCCGACCGACTCACGCTGGCGAGGAATCGGGGAGCACGGGGGACAGGCTGGGGTGGAACCCGGCGCCGATGCAAGGCCAGCAGGGAGCTCAGCGGACAGAAGGGCCGCACTGGGGGTGGAGCGGGGAGGCAGCGGCCGGCTGCCAGGAGGGGGGAGCCGCGCACTCACCGCTCTGCTCTCCTAGGAACACCAGCTTGAATTTCCTCAGCGGATTCCCGAAGTCTCCGCCCGCGGACATGATGGAGCCGGAGGAGCTGCCGCCGCCTCAGCCCAGAGACCTCCCGGACCGACGCTGCTCCAACCGGCTGACGAAGAAGGCGAGCGGAAGGGCGGGCGCCGAGTTCTCTCGGCCCCCGCAGGGCCAGGCGAAGGAGCAAGGCCGGAGGGCAGCAGGATTCTCCACAGCACGCAGCCGTCGCCGCCGACGCCGCCTTCCCGCAGAGTAGCCTAGCACCGAGCGAGGCCAGCCGCAGCGAAGGGAAGGAGGGCGGTGTCGGAGGCAGCCAGGGGTGTGTGCGGGGCTCCCGAGGCTAGCGCCGTCTCTTCCCTCAGCACCTGGCACCGAGACTAGGGTGGGAGAGGCTGAGGGTGGCGGGGCCGGAACCGCAGACGCGTCTGGGACCTTTCACACGCAGCGCCCCGACTCCCACAGCTGCCGCCGCCGCAGCCCAACCTGCTGAGTGCGCGAGCCTCTGGCGCGGCGCGGGGCGAGCCCGGGCGCGAGCCAGTCGCCCAGCCGGCCGCCGGCGTGCGTGCGTGAATGCGTGCGCGCCACCGCCAGCGCCTTCCTGATGTAGCGGCTCTTTCAGCTCCTCCCGCACCGCAGAGACTACGGCTGGCAGGACTTCGACTGGCGTCGGGAGAAGCAAAGAGGCGGGGCAAGTCAGGGTAAGTGAGGGGGTGGGAAAAAAAAATGGAGCACTTACATCACTTACTCTGGGATCCAATCAGAAAAGATCGAGGGCGGCCCCGGACAGGAGTGAGGTGGCGGCGCGAGAGCGCGCGCGACCCTCCAGCGGTGAAAAGCGGGGTACTATGGCGGCCATGCTAAGTGTGGCGCTTTGCACCCTGAGGGGAGGGGAGAGGAAAGGAAGAAAGGTGGGGCGGAGGCGGGGCCAGGAGGTGGAATGACCCAAGGATGGATGGGTGGAGTTGGGTAGCCATAAGGTGTGTAATAGGTGTCTTTTTCTTAAGCTGTCAGTTCAGCGTCGCTTTCCTCAGATCACCCTTCACCTACCTTCTCCATCTTCTTTCTCATCATAATTCTTCACACGGCATCTTACTGGATATCATTCTCTGTTGTTCCCAGGAGTTTCGTAACTACCAGAAACAGGGCCTGTTCATTTTGGAGATGGGGAAACTGAAGCCCATAGGGTGGAAATGACTTGCAAAATCCACAAAGCTATGAAATGGAACCTAGGTTTTCTCTCCTGAACTGCAGCCATCTTATAGATGAACCCGTCCACTTCCCCAGCCTAACTTTTATTGGTCCTCTGTTACATACCCTTGTTCCTCAGATGTTGATGACTCTAGGTGATGCCCATCTTCTACCTTGCTAGAAATGGGTTTAGATATCAGATCACAGTTGATGAAACAGGCTCATGCAACAAGCAAAAGGTCACAGAACAAATCCGAGGGAAAGCCTGAACTAGAACCCAAATCTGGGTAAGGGAATATTTTAAAAATCATCCTTTCCTCCTAAAGGAGTGCTTCTGAATATGGGTGGACCTCCCTTATATTAGCTATCTGAAGCATGTGAATTTTTATGTGGAGAGGATCCATAGCTTTTATCAGATTTTCAGTATGATTCATAATCCAAAAAACTGGAGGCGAATGGCCCAACCAAGAGGAACCTTAAGAGACATGACAATTAAGTGTAATGTGCACAACTAACATGATACATTAACATGATTCTAACATGACAATTGACAGACAATTAAATACAATTTTTCAGTAAGGAGTGGTGAGGAATGACTGTAATCCCAGAGACTAGGGAGGCTTGGGCAGGAGGACTGCAAGTTCAAGGCCCTAAGCAACTTAGTGAGATCTTGTTTCAAAATAAAAAATAAAAAGGACTGGGGTGTGGCTCGGTGGTTAACTGTCCTGGGTTCAATCCTTCCTACTAAACATGAATATAATTTTTCAGTGAAATGGGATCCTGGAACATAAAATGAACCTAATACAAAAAATAAAGGAAATCTTTCATTAATATTGATCCATTAGTTGTAACAAATATATTAATGTGGGGCTGGGGATGTGGCTCAAGCAGTAGTGCGCTTGCCTGGCATGCGTGCGGCCCCGGTTCCATCCTCAGCACCACATACAAACAAAGATGTTGTGTCCGCCGAAAACTAAAAAATAAATATCAAAAAAATTCTCTCTTTCTCTCTCTCTTTAAAAAAAAATTTTAAAAAAATATATCAATGAAATATGTTAATAGAGGAAAGCGGGAGTATATGGGAACTTGCTGTATTGCCTGTGTAATTTTTTTGTAAATCTAAAACTACTCTAAAGTCTGCTAATAAATTTAAAAGTTTCTAAATAAATTCTATTAAGGAAAAAACACAAGGTTAAGAATCATGAAATTATGGGCTGGAGTTGTAGCTCAGTGGTAAAGCACTTACTTTGCATGCTTTACCCAAAAGCCCTGGGTTCAATCTCCGCACCACATAAAAATAAATAAAATAAAAATAAAGATATTGTGTTCATGTACAACTAAAATATATATGTATTTTTTTTAAAAAAAGAACTATCAAATTAGAGAATTTGCCATCATACAACTTCAGCCACATCACAAGGGAGGTGGAATAAAATTCAAGAAAAGAAATCTCTACACTCAGAGAGACCTTTTTAAAAACTGATGTCAAAACCTGGCATGGTATCTCATGCCTGTAATCCCAGTTACTCAGAAGGCTGAGGCAGGAGGATCACAAGTTTGAGGCCACCCATGGCAATTTAACAGGAAGACCCTGTTTCAAAAAAAAAAATTAAAAGGCCTAGGAATATTAGCTCAGTGGTAGAGCATCCCAGTACTGCAAAAAGTAATAAATGAGTAAAAATAAAAACTGGGCATAGTGGCATAAGCCTGTAATCCCAGCAGCTTGAGAGGCTGAGGCAGGAGGATCACAAATTCAAAGCCAACCTCAGCAAAAGTGAGGTGCTAAGCAACTCAGTGAGACCTTGTTTCTAAATAAAATACCAAATAGGGCTGGAGATGTGGCTCAGTGGCCAAGTGCCCCTGAGTTCAATCCCCAGTACCCCCTCCCCAAAAAACAAAAACAAACTGGCATCAAAAATGCTTCCCAGAGGCTAATGTTGTGGCTCAGTGGCAGAGCGCTTGCCTCAAACACATGCACTGGGTTCAATCCTCAGTACTACATAAAAAATAAATAAAAGTAAACATAATAAAGATATTGTGTTCATCTATAATTTAAAAAATTTAAAAGAAGATTTAAAAAAAAAATGCTTCCCAAACTGGATGAAATGGTACATGCCTGTAATAATCCCAGTACTCAGAAGGTGAAGGTTAAGGCAGTAGGATCCAAGTTGAAGGCCAGTCTTAGCAAAAAAAAAAAAAAAAAAGCTTCCTAATAATTAAAGTCTTTACTTTCCTGTATAGTATCTTTATCATTCATAAAACACATATATACATTTCCTCATGATTTGATAGTTATTATTTAATTAACTCTCAGAATGACAGGATCAAATAAGTGCCTTCTCAAGCCCTGGGATGAATTATTGGCCTAGAATAAATTAGAGAGGAATTGAAGTTGTTGTTGTTGTTGTTGTTGTTCTTCTTCTTCTTCTTCTTCTTCTTCTTGATGGACCTTTATTTATTTATTTATTTAAGGTTTTTTTAGGTGTGGTTGGACACAATAGCTTTATTTTTATGTGGTGCTGAGGCTTGAACCCAGGGCCTCACATGTGCTAGGTGGGTGCTCTGCCACTGAGCCAAGACCCCAGCCCTGGGCTTTATTTTAATCATTTATTTATATGTGGTGAGAATGGAACCCACTGCCTCACACATGCTAGGCAGGCACTCTACCACTAAGCCACAACCCCAGCCCAGAACTGAAGTTCTTAAAAATATCAACTATTCTGGCTTATCAAGACAACAACCATATCCTAAAACCTTCTTATCTATCAAAATCCCTTCCTGCTTTCATGATTTTGGAACATGCATCTATAAGTGACATAGTAAAAACCTGAAGCATGACATGGCCATTGATTTTTTTAAAAATATTTCATTTACAAGTAGCTTTTCATGTTTGACAGTGCTGTCCCCAACAATAACCTAGAACCCTGACACACAAAGAACTTCCAATACAAAGAAACTATTTTTAAAAAGCTCTTACAAAAAAAGTTAATTTTTCTTTTTTTTTTTCTCTGAAAGGAAAGCGAGGAATGAGAGACAGGTAAGTAAGAAATGAAAGACAGAGACCAGGCAGAGATACATATGAGAGTTTATTTGTTAGAGCTAACAAATAAAGGCTATCTGTCTATAGGAAAGAGAGGCAAAACAGGCTTGAGTTCTGGGACTTTTATGGGGGAGGCTCAGGAATCAGAGCTGGGCAGGTCCTAATGCCCCAGTGGTTAGGGGTTGGGTTGGTATGAGGAATTGGTGACCCATTCACAGAAATGTCTTTGGGCAGGAAAAGTGGAAGTTTTCCTTAAAATGACAGCAGTCACTTAAGATGGCAGTCCAAGATGCTAAGCAAGGATCTTATAGTACCAATTCATTATGCTTCCTGAAAGCTTTTAAAGAAAAATTTCAGGATTGGAACTATAATTACTTTATACTTCCTCCAGAGCTTTATGAATCAATTCCTCCCTGCTGCTTTGTACCCTAGTCACCTAGACAGGTGGTGCTGTTTCCCAATGGAAGACCCCAAGTATTTTGAAGTTTTTAAAGTTTGCTTTTTTTTTTCCCCTTTACCATACTAGGGATCAAACCAGGAGCTCACATATGCCAGGAAATCACTCTACTGTTGAGCCACATTCTCAGCCTTGTCCTTTTTAAGTTTTATTTAGAGACAGGATATCACTAAATGGACCAAGTTGGCCTTGAACTTGCAATCCTCCTGCCTCAGATGCCCAAATCACCACCACATCCAACTTCCTTTTCTTTCTTGAGACAGGTTTAAGCTGTTTTCTGAAGTAGCCTTTAAAGCAGCATCTAAAGATTGGAACTATAATTACTTATACTTTCTCCAGAGCTTTTTGAATTAATTCCTTCTTCCTGCTTTGGTCTCTATAGTCATGTAGACAGGTGGTGCTCTTCCCTATTATTTGAAAGAGATCAATTCATACTCCTTCAGTTACCACCTAAAGAAGTTGTCTTAGCCATCTCCCTGGCTCAGGAGGCTGAGGATGGAGGATCGCAAATTCAAAACCAGCCTCAGAAACTTAGCAAGGACCTAAGCAACTCAGCGAGACCCTGTCTCTAAATAAAATATAAAAGAAGGCTGGGGATGTGGCTCAGTGGTTAAGTGCCCCTGGGTTCAATCTCTGGTGCCAAAAAAAAAAAAAAAAGGAGAAGAAGATGTTTTCTTTGGGCTGCAACAGCAGAATACCATAGTCTGGAGGACTTAAACAACAAAGCTCCTCACAGATCTGGAGACTGGGAAGTCTAAGGTCAAGATGCTAGAAGATTCAGTGTCT